CATTTGTAAGTATACAGTGAGAATGCAGGTATTGCTAGACTTATGTACAGCTAATTTTCTTTTAATCTCTTAAAAGAAAATAGTTACTGTATTGTGTTGTATGGAAGGCCCAAATGACTGAGAATTTGTTCTTGAAAATGAGCACGCTTTGTGAAAGTGTACACCTTAAACTTTTGTGTCAGTCTATCTTTTGTATACTGTTTTAACAAAATCCTCAGTGCTTTCAAATAAAAAAAATTAACAGAAGTAAAGAGTTTAGCGAGTTTAGTTGGGATGAACTGTGTGGTGGCCATCCTTTCTGTCTTCAACTTAATCTTAGTTCTATTTTATTTAGTAAATAATCCGCATTCATTCTATTTCAGGATAGAAGAGAAATAAAGTGGTTAAAGTTACTGCTGATAGGAGAGAGCTGTTGGTCTTCTCCCAATATGGAAGGCAGAAGGAAGAAGAGCAGAACAGTCTAAACTGTTGCTTCCTAGAGATCAAAAGAGAGTGAGCAAATAGTCAGAGGAAATCTGTCTTCTCGAGACAGAGGAATTAATCTGGGAGTTCAGGAGAAACTTTTAGGGCTAGAAGAGGAGCCAAAGTAGCAATTCAGAAGCTCTGTATAGGACAGAAGCATATCTGTGGGGAGACACTGTACAGCATGAGTCTTTCTCTTTTTAGTTCTTGGGCCAAGATTTGCTGAGGCTTTTCAGAGCCTTAGGTTTTCCTTCAAAACGTTTGGAATTTCCAAATAAAGTAACGTATTAGCATTACAGTTCATATACTGTATTAATACCAAAACTTCTTTAAGTGCATTGGTGTGGATTAACAGGCTACCGAATCACTTGTTCTTTACAGGCTGTGGGAATTAAAACCCGGAAGAACATAGCAATTTACAAGTTGCTGGATTTTTTTTGTTTGTTTGTTTCAGCAAAGAGTGGTGAAAAGTAACCAATATGTATTACTTACCTTCTTATTACAGGGCGGGGCTGCTAACAAATATCACTGCTGTGCTGTATTTGTATAGGGTATCAGTATTGGAACAAATATGGTTTTCTGGTGGTATCCTAAATCACTTTTTGTGTGTGTGTGTGTCTAGGAGTTACCTGTTTGTAACAAATGGTTCAGAAAGTGAAGAGTCACTGCCTTAGGATACTGTGAAGGCCAAAAGATTAAGTGGGTTAAAAAAAGGATTCAGTTAATGGAGTACAGGTCTTTCCTTGCCTATTTAACAGAATGGTTTGGATTCGGCCTCTAGCCTTGAAAGTCCTTAAATCATTGATAACTGGAAGCTGGGAGAATAAACCAGATAAAGGATGAAGCTTCCTTATGCATTCAGGAAACAGGCTGCTCGGCTAGATAAACTAATTTGTCTCAGCATGGTTTTCATCGTATTACATAGATAAATAACGTACTAGACAGGAATGTTTGCACTAGCGTTTACAAGGAGCAGTTTCTCAGTCTTGCCTCACAAATGTATATAAAACACAAAATAAATAAGGTATTTAAACATATTGCTGGCTTTACTGATTGCTTTTAAAGCCACATAGTCAACTATTTTATATTGGAAATTACATGCGCCAGGAAACAGTAGGCTTCCTAAGTTTAAGTACAGTATCACTGTGTTTCTGTGCTTTGTATATGGGAACTAAATATACGGGAGCTCAAATATAAGATCCTTTGTGCTGGAAACACATGGAACCATGTGAAATATTTATTGGCAGAAAGGTGATAGTGCAGCCAGGATTCTCAGTGAGACGTTGATGGTAAGAGGAGAGAGACAGTTGAAGTAATGTAGTGATACTACCAGAGAGGCTGCTATGAACTACATAATCCTCTGAAATTCTTGCCTGCATAACTGCAGTTGTGGTTCAGGAGGTCGCAGTACGCTGCACCTGGTTCCCTCAGTTAGATTTCTCTGCATCGTTGTGGGGGAAAATGAACCTTAACCTTTGCAGAGGCTATAGTACTGGCTTTGAAATTTCATTTCTAAGTGACAGCTGCTGCTGTTCTATAACATAGACTTCATTGTACTAGGAATGCATGTTTATTAAAGGGCTTGCGTGAAACAGTCTGGGGCAAAATATAAAGCTTACTGACACGGACATTCAAGTGGTAATGTAAATATTGTTGGGATTAAAAGCATTCCCTTCCTGTGTCTGTCACACAGCCAGAATCTGTGCTGGAGCATGACAAATTAAAACTGGCTAGCATATTCTGTTGGATGTCCTTAGGGGAAGGAATAGAAAAAATACCCACAAACATGGCAAGATAATTAACTTCTTCAAGCTTTGAGATTTTTCTTATCTATTTAATTCATTACTGATAACATAGCTACGCGGTTCTATGTTTTAATACTATATTTAATATATAAGCTTGTATAACAGCGGCAGGTTGCTTAACGTTTTAAGTTTGCATAAAAGGTCAGTCACTATGTATTTGTTTTTGTTTCAAAAATGACTTGGTAGAGGTGAAAAGTGTTAGTACCCCCTTCCTCCTCCCAGCAGCTTTGTCTTTTCAAGATAAGCAGGAGAGCTTAACAGCACACAGCAACTTTTTGAAGGTCCACACAGGTCACTCTGTTTTGAATGTGAATTTATGCAGACGGTAAGTGTATTTACGAAGGCGCTCAGAAAAAGTAAATATAAAATGTACCTATTAAACAGCCATATTTACTTGGGATCATCACCACCCAATATGTGTTTTACAAAAATAATGGAGAGAGAGGAGGAACTCTCCTGTATCCTTTCATATGAAAAGAGTAAAATAATAGGGCTTAGTTTTACATATGCGCATCACAAATAATTTGTGCTATTTTGAGAACCTGCAATTATGGTAGGACAATTCTTCTAAAACTTAAATCTTTCTATTAACTCACACTGAAGCGTGCCATGAAAATCACTTGACATGCTGTCATTGTAAATGATAAAAGATATAATGGGTTTTTTTCCAGTTCTAGTTCTCTGTTGTTGAAGTTATGTAAATATTGGACAAAACCAAAATATTTTGTTTGGGTCAAGCTATTCAGCTGATTCAGCAAAGGGAAATGAATATTTGTAACATCAGCTTACAGCAATCCACTTGGTTGACTTATCACTGTGATTCTATCAAAGTTGATAGTAGAGATCAAAAAAATGTTGGTAGATTTTGGTCCCTCTCTCTGTTTAGATACAGTTACCCTTAAACATTAGGGTATTTAGTCTGTCTAGTTAATATTAGTTAATACTAGTTAATTTAGTCTGTCTGTTTAGTCATGTATTGAAAAATGTGTTTAGACTAGTGCATGTAAACAGAAGCCCTTTGAAGTTCTAAGAAACTGGTCAAATGCACTCTGTGTACAAGGTCTTTGTTATAATACATTGTGATAGCACGGATTCAAGATTTAAATGTTTCATTTTCTTTTTCTAGCGTAATTTATGTAATGTTTCCTTTGCAACAGATGAGTCAAAATTCAAGCAGTGTTTCCTGCTTTCAGGAGAAGATTCTAATTTTGTCTCTGAATCTGGCATTTCAGAAGGTAAAATAGCATTTTTGCAGTTCATGCTGGGAATTGATACTTGGAAGAACGGTGTATTTTTTATTGTTTGTAGCACGTTTACTAAACTTTCTAATGTAAGTAACATCAAAAAGTAGTCTCAAATGTCTTTTTTTTTCCCTGAATACAATTTGATTAAGTATCGGAATAATGATTTCTTGTAGATATGATAGTTGTGACTTATTGGTTATCAGCTGAGATTACTTGTGAGTAGCTTCAACTATAACCAAAAGAACTTTAGAGCAAGCTGCAAAGAACTTGAAATATTCAGTACTGATGATAATCCTGTAAGTGTTACAAGTTAGTGATATGGCCTAATCTTCTATATGCGGCCTGTATGCGTTTAGAAATGGCCCTGGGTCTTCAGGTCACTTAAATGCTATTGAAAATCTTCAGCTAGCTATAATGACATAAAACAAGCCACTACCATCTAATTTTGCAGTGTCTCAATAGCAAATAATGGTCATTCCCAAACTTACGTTACTGTTTCTTGCAAATATTTTCCAGTGTGTTTGATACCAGGTTTAAGAGGTGTAACTGTAGTTCTTCAGAATACGAAGGACGCATGAATCCTTTCTGCCTGGACAACTTCGTTTTGCAGGCTTTTATTTAAAAGCGGACACGAGAACCCAGTGCTGTTAGTTTATCTGCTCCCTTTCAGCTTTAGTAATCTGTACTGGTGTCATCTTTACCTCAACATCCTTAAATCTTACTTTGAGTAGATGGCATGCAAATTAATTACATATTTTAGCTCCAAAAGATTTTAACTATTTTCCTTAGAGCTGTTACTTGAATTTGCTTCTCAATTGCTTTTACAATTAATCTTTGCCAAACAGGTCTTGTTAATGCTTTGCACCACGTATTAAGTTAAGTGACATTAAGCTAAGCCTCTTGTGCGTAGGACCGATGCGAGCTTTAATGACATGGCTCTTCCCAGGGAAGCATACGTAGACAAATTCATTTACGATGCAAACAGGGGCACTCGAGTGATAAAGCTCAATTCAAGTAGCTCGTGAGTAACAGCTGGAAGCAAATACCCTGTGCGCAGCCCTCGGAGCAGCAGCCGCCTTTCCCTCGGCCCCGGCTTTGGGCCCGCAGGCCCAGTTTGGCGAGCGCGGTCAGAGCTCGGCGCACCGTCGGCTGTCCGTCCAGCTGCGG